TGGGCTTTTGCTATGTTTCAAAGTGGAAGCACCCGTATTGACTAATCGAATAGTTGATGGAAATTCCATTGACTATTTATGATTAGTTGATCTAATTTTAACATCCCTACTGTGAACTAATCTTAGAAGGCATTATCCTAATTTCTAATGATTAAATTGGCCTATCTCCCTGTTTTCTTCATACTGACAGAATGAATGTGTCATATGCTGCAAAACAGCTAATAGGTAAGAAACTTGGGTGGGAGGTTGTTACATTCCTTTTGCATTTGGGGGGTCAAAACCTTTTCAGAATTAACTATAACATCTTTAGGAATACAAATAGAAGATCAATATAAAGTAGAAAAACTCCAAAGGAGTCCATGGTTTAAGTGCTGTGAATACCCCAATAAATTTGTTACTCTTTAAAGTGCCACAGGATTCCTTGTTTTAGCTGAAACAGACTTAACATGGCTACCTCTCTGACACCTGAAAATATAATGTGCTGAAAGTATGAAAAAAATCAAAGTTTAGTGTGAAAAAGTGTTTTTACTGAGTGCAAAAGAATCTGAAATATGAAACTTTTTGTGGGAAAACCTCAAATATTTATTTGGACCATCCTCTGAAAAATACTTTATTTCAAGAGCCATCATTCTTTTTTTGGCCCCAAATTACCACCATTTCATATAGTCACTTGCCAGTATCCTTTGTTGTTGTGAAGACTTGCTGCCAAAAACTGATATAATTCATTTCACATAGATGACCTACAGTAGTAGAAGATTCCACTTGCTCTGCTTTTACACCTGGGCTACGTCTACACTGGCATGATTTTCCAGAAATGCTTTTAATGGAAAAGTTTTCCGTTAAAAGCATTTTCGGAAAAGCGCGTCTAGATTGGCAGGACGCTTTTCCGCAAAAGCACTTTTTGCAGAAAAGCGTCCATGGCCAATCTAGACGCGCTTTTCCGCAAAAAAGCCCCGATCGCCATTTTCATGATCGGGGCTTTTTTGCGGAAAACAACTCTCTGCTGTCTACTCTGGCCCTTTTGCGCAAAAGTTTTTCGGAAAAAGACTTTTGCCTGAATGGGAGCAGCATAGTATTTCCACAAAAGCACTGACAATCTTACATGAGATTGTCAGTGCTTTTGCGGAAATTCAAGCGGCCACTGTAGACAGCTGGCAAGTTTTTCTGCAAAAGCAGATGATTTTGCGGAAAATCTTGCCAGTCTAGACACAGCCAGAGTGTTCCAGTTATACTAGTGGTGAAAGCCTAGAAAGAAACTGACCAGCTGTATGTTAGTTTCACTCTTATGTCAATGTGATAAATGTTTCTGCTTCTTCACACAAAAAATCTGATCAGTCCCCCTTTATTTTGTCCCTTTCCTTCCTCCACCCCAAAAGGATTGCCTTTCCTATGGGGGAGAGGTGAGATCTGTAATTTTGCAGCCAATTTACATTGCTATTGCTGTGCCTGATCATCCTGTATTGCCGTAGTGTGAACTTCATACTTGGAGAGTAAAAGGTGCTGTATACGACTACATTTTATTTTATTCTTTTTTTGTCTTGCCAGTCATGATGTTTAAGTTCAATGTCAAATTAGTTATGTAAAATCAGTTTAACTATAGGGAAAACCTATTCTGTGTTACTTGGAATTAATTTGTACTTGGTATTTATTTCATCTACCACTGGATGTCAGCATTGTTCCACATAAATGCAGCTAGTAAAAAGATTTATCTAGTGGTGAGAAAGGAGGGAGACTCTATTTGGCACTTAATTTGAAATTATTTAATATAACGCTTCTCAGAAAAATTAAAACGTTGCATCTGTCACTGGCGATTCATAGTATAATCCTGAAGTTATTTGATTCACACATGGTTTCAAATGCCCAGTTGGCAAATGCAGAATTGTCAGAGCAGATTGTATATATCAATTATTGCGTACTCTGAATGCCACTCAAAGGTTTGTTGGTGATGAGTCACCACACTGACTAGCCAAGAAATTAGATCAGATCTTTGGCAATGGCTAGGAGTAAGATCTTACTAGGTGTATAGACGTATAATAATATAATTTACAAATAGCTATAGTCAGAAATGACTTGCGACCTTCACGTGTAGTTTCTATTAACTGTTAGATTTGCAGGAATTAGGTTGGATTTGTAGAATAAAAAAGTCTAAACCTTCCTTAATTTTATGTCAAGATGATAGATCTCTTATATATAGTAGAGCACAAAATATTGTTAAATTGCTCACAGATGTGTCATGATGTTTGGCTTTTATAATCAGTTTTTTAATAAATGTTTAAGCTATTAAAGGAATGGAATATGATTTACTATTAGATTAGTTTTCCTCTGGAAGATTGTATAATCACAAAGGAAGAAACAGGTAGAACATTTGCTTTTTAGCTTTAAAATAAGGTAGTCACTCCCATTTTGGGGTGATTTATGAGGCTTTTTGGTAGTAGGAATCAGTCTCTCTAAAACTTATTAATTATCAGTGCCTTTCCCTGTTTGTAGAACTCAAGTTATGTGACAACAATGCTTCTTTGTAAAGACAAAAGTTGGCAGCACAATCTAGATCAGGTACCACCTTCTCTTTTAAGGCAAATTTACATTTATTTTCCATGCCCTTTAAATTGAATTTTTGAATGGATTTCAGCTGCCATTCTGTCTTGGAACATAAAACGTTAGAATACATGATAATGGAGTGGTAAAAATGCTTCCCAATGAACACAACTAAAACTCCAAACTTGATCCAGATAAATATGTATTTAAAACTGTTATGTAGATCAGATACTTAACCTGCCTTCAGTAAATATGTAGAATAACTTTCCTCTAATAAATAACTTAAAAAGGACACAATAACTAAGTGTGTAGCCTACACAGTGTACATGCTATAGTACATATATTGCCAACAGCTCCTATCATAGTGTAGGGATACCAGCAAAGGTTTCTGTTTAAAACTAAAGTTACTCCTGTATGAAATCAGTCAAGATTTTTGTGACTATGACTTTGGGGGGAAAAACAGTGGTCTGAATGTACAATCAATTGAAAATCTGTCCACAGATGTTCATACTTGAACATATTTTGCTGATAGTGAGGAGTGATTATTTATAGTCTTTCTATCTCTAGCCATAATATTAGCAAGATTGAAACCAAGTATACAGTCTCTAATCCTCATTCTTAAAGAGCCCTTCTGATTTCAAGAGTGATATTTCAAGCTCATTTGAGAATAGAGGTATCCTCAGAGACAATCTTAATAGATTTTGCAGTCATATTATAAACTAGTTTCTAGAATGAGACTAGTATGTGTCTATCAGATTTCAACTTTGCTTTGGTGATACTGTATATAGAATAGCACTGAATTGCATCTTTTTCTTTTAACAGCAAAACTCTTCCCTCCTTTTGTACAAATGCCTATGGCTATGTCTAGACTGGCCCCTTCTTCGGAAGAGGCATGCTAATTTCTAACTTTGGAATAGGGAAATCCACGGGGGATTTAAATATCCCCCACGGGATTTAAATAAACATGGCCACCGTTTTTTTTCCGGCTTGGGGAAAAGCCGGAAAAGAGCATCCAGACTGGCACGATCCTCCGGAATAAAGCCTGCAAGTAGGAATAAGAGATCCTCCGGAAAAGGGCTTTATTCCGGAACTATTCTGGAATAGCTTATTTCGAAGTAAGCATGTATTGTTGACATACCCTTAGTGTGAAATTTCATACTGCTCATTTTTATGCTCTTTGAAGTTTCTAAGCAGTTTTTGTTTGTACTTTCATTTCATACATTTTTTAATTGGAAGCCATTGAAGCTGGCTGTGGCTGAAATTTGTTGTTGGCAGTCTGAGCTTCATTGTTGATTTAAATGTTTTTAAAAAGTGTATACACAGAATATATATAGAATTTGACACAAAGACGTATCCTCTGTAGATTGGTTGCAAAACTTCTGTCTGTCTTTTCTGTCTTTCTTTCTATGAGTCTATGAAAGGACTCTTATCCTTCATTGGGAATAGTTGAAAGTTTAAGTGCCACTGATTGCCAATTAATAAAATATTTTCTTTTAAAATATCCATAAGCTGTTATGTAAATTTTATATAGTGCAGAACATTTTCTATGCAGCAGTGGCAAATGAGCGCGTGTGCAGTTTCTGTATGTCTATCACTTATAAAATGTCTGTGCTTAAAATGTGTTAGATATGAAAGGATCGATAAACCAGGCCTGTGGGACACAGTGGGAGACAATCCACCTAGGCTACGCCTACACTGGCACCCTTTTCCGGAACTGCTTAAAACGGAACAGTTTTCCGTTATAAGTATTTCCGGAAAAAGTGCGTCTACATTGGCAGGATGCTTTTCCGGAAAAGCACTTTTTCCGGAAAAGCGTCCATGCCAATGTAGACGCGCTTTTCCGCAAAAAAGCTCTGATCGCGAAAATGACGATCGGGGCTTTTTTGCGGAAAAGAAATCTGTGCTGTCTACACTGGCCCTGTTCCGGAACAGTTTTCCGGAAAAGGACTTTTGCCCGAACGGGAGCAGCATAGTTTTTCTGGTAAAGCACTGATGATTTTACAGTAGATCATCAGTGCTCTTCCGGAAATTCAAGGGGCCAGTGTAGACAGCTGGCAAGTTATTCCGGAAAAGTGGCTGATTTTCCGGAATAAGTGGCCAGTGAAGACAGCCCTAATGTTTATGATAGCAATTTACAAGATTTTTCAGGTTTTGTATCCTAAAGATGTAACACAAATGAAAATATTTTACAGACTGTTCTTTTTACTTGTAAGAATGTGCTTTACAGGAATATTACAAATTGCTTTTTATAAATCAGTAATAATATAAATGTGTTATGCAAGAAGTCAAACATCATCATGGTTTCTCCAGACCTTAAAATCCTATGAAATAGTAAAGCTATATTTTGTTTTTGATATCTTGCTTATCTATAACTTGAAGCAGAGGCAATAAGTAAAACTTCATTCACACGCATTATTAAGAGGTATACTGGCAAATGTACAGTAACAAAATGAAATCTTTTCCAGGTGCAAGTATTGGCAGTATGATGAGAACCTGCTCACCTCCAGTGTTGTCATTGTCTTTCATAATGAAGGCTGGTCCACACTCATGAGGACAGTTCACAGTGTTATAAAACGGACACCAAGAAAATACTTGGCAGAAATTGTGATGATTGATGATTTCAGTAATAAAGGTAATGCATAGACTATTGACACTGAATCTGTAGGAAGGGGGGTTTAAAATTGTTTTTAAAATTAGGGTTTTTTTTGTTTTATTATTCTATTATATGGATTGTACTTGACTGAACAATAAAAATAAGATGGTGTTTATATTCATTTTTATCTTTCAGTAAAATACAAACTACGTCTCAATGATAGTAATGAAAACACTGGTTCATGTGCATACATTTCTGTTGTGTGCATAGAATTTGGATCAGGTTTTCCCCACAGTTTACTTAGAACATTATTATTGGAGATTTGGATTAATTATCACATTTTGTCATTAGTAATTTTTAAAATGATACTGTGATTAGAGATAAATTGGAACAGGGCACAGTGCTGTGTGCTGTCAGTAACTGTCAAACCAGCGAGCATGAAGTACTTCTCCAACTTAGTATTTTCACTGCTTCTCTTGTTTTCATCAAGCAGTTAGTGATAAATGTGATGTAAAAAGTGTCTTTCCTTGTGAAGGCAAGACGTAATCCTGTCTTAATTCTAAATATAGTCAAATTTGACTAAAATATTCAGTAAATCATATTCATTTTTTAACTTTCTTAATGATTTTTGGAGCCACCCACAACTCTTCAAAACACAATACTATGTTTATCATTGCTTATTTTTTTGAAAGAAAAACTATATATTTTTTTACTTTAAATGTTTTCTTTATTTCATGGTGGCATATGGGCTCCAGTTGCATGTCATCAAAGCTTCCAGACATTTGTAGTCTTTCCTGCCTATGCTTGTTATCCATGTTCTTCTTTTCCTTTCTGCCAAGGTGAACCAAGATGGGAATGTACTTGCTCCATGTACATATGTATGATTTTAAATACATAATAGGCATTATAAAATGCTTGCATACACACACTTTCTCTCTCTGTCTCTCTGTTTTCCTAGTATTGATATCTTAAGGTCTAATGATCATTGACAATGTAAAATGAAGCTGATTTGAGAAGAGAATAGCAAGAGATGGCATGTTAGGTATAAATAAGATAATGAATGATATAGAGAAGGTCAGTCCAATGTATGTTTTAAGTTTAAAACTGATAAAAGAAAATACTTTGTTTAGTACTATGCAGAATTAATCTCTAGGACTCTATGCCATAATAAGTTGTTGTGGAAAATACCTTGTAAGAATCAGAAAAAGATCACACACTTGTGTGAGTAAAAATATTTGCTTCTGTAGGAAGGATACTTGTGGATGCGGCACTGGGCTTGGATTCAGGAATACTGAGTTCAGTTACGCACTCTACCTTTTGCTTTCTGACTTCAGGCAAATTGTTAATCTTTTTGTGCCTCTTTTCCTTATCTGGAAATGGAGATAACAGTACTTCCCTACCTCACTAAATCCAGAAATGCAGGGTGGAGAGGGGATAACTTTCAGGTGCTATAATAATGAGGGGCAAAATAATTATTCAGGGAAATTAGATAAGATAAATATTTATAAGGTGCATAAACCTGAGATTAGAAAGAAATTTCCTCTATAGCCAAGTATATTTGTATACATGATTATTATGGGATCTTAGCATATTCCTCTGAAGCATCTGATATTGATAGCTGTAAGAGTCAAGATTACCCTTTTGTCTGCTTTTAGTATGGCAGTTTCTATGCAGAGCTAGTATAGCCAGAGTATGATGTAACAGCATTTCTATACTGTCTGTCCCTTGGATTGATACATAGCAAGGACAAGACATGTCTGATCATAGGTCAGTATGAGCTGCTCCTGAAGTCTGGGATCTGCTGCCCCATTCCCTCCTTTTTCCCTTTGAATAGTTGAATTTAAAGATATGGAGGACATCTGGCTGTGTGGGTACCCACTGCTGAAGTGGCTCTCCTTTTGTATCATTAAATAGTCTGGCACACAATAGACTTGTCAATATCACAGAGGTGTATTAGTAAAGAATGAATACTAGAAATTAATTTTAAACTTGAAATGATTGTATAAAAACAGGATAGACTTTTTACATGTAAAGCATTATTAACATATAAATAAACATTGTTTTTCACAAAATCCCTATGAAAATATTAAGAAAATAGGACCAGAATAGCCCTTGATCTAGGACTAACCCTCTGTGGGACTCCACTAGACATGCCCTCCCAGTTTGATAGCAAATAATTGATAATTATTGTTGGAGTATAGTCTTTCAACCAGCTGTGCATCCACTTTATAGTAACTTCATCTGGACCATATTTCCTTAGCTTGCTTACAAGAATGCCATGTAGGCCTTGGTCAGAAGACTTACTAAAATCAGGATGCATCACAAATACTGCTTCCCCATATCTGTTAGGCCACAGTGGTCCTCTATATTCCAATTGACTTGTAATGGAATGACACCACCTGAGAAGCTGATGTAGATTTGTATATAATATGTAAATGTTTCCTTAAAGTATATGTTTTAATCATTTAATCAGCAGCCATATTCTAGACTTTTCAGCTGGCATCACAGCTGTCTTCACGTGCAATTCAAGGACTTGCTGAGCCACTTAAATAAAAGCTTAACATCATTGTAAAAGTAGATGGCCTATTTAAATATGACAAACTTTTGCAAATCTGAATTCATAATGCTATTTACATTGTGTGAATATGACTGACTGTACTTCATGTAGGTGACTTTCATGGACTGTCTGGCACCTGATAAGTATTTTATACAAGACAAGAAAATGGCATAATAGACATACTGCAAGTTATAATTAATATATGGCAGGGGTGATGAAAGATGGCCTATTTAAATATGACAAACTTTTGCAAATCTGAATTCATAATGCTATTTACATTGTGTGAATATGACTGACTGTACTTCATGTAGGTGACTTTCATGGACTGTCTGGCACCTGATAAGTATTTTATACAAGACAAGAAAATGGCATAATAGACATACTGCAAGTTATAATTAATATATGGCAGGGGTGATGAAATCCCAGCCACACTGGGTGGGAGGGAAGGGGAGGAGCTTGAGACCTCTGCCTGGCAATGGGAGGATGGGGTACCACTTCTGTTCAGTAGAAGGGGATCTCTAGGCTTTGCCTCTCAGGGCATGCCTACTGGGGTTCAGGCCTTCAGCTTGAACAGGGCTGAAGCCCCAAGCCCTGTAAGATGCCTTCCACAGGGCTGAAGCCCGTGCCCCAGCTCTTGAACTTCTAAAGATTGTCGTCTGCAGCTCAGAGAGTCAATAAGTTTGGCCACTTTTGTGTATCCAAGATTATGAGGAAAAATGTGAATGTTATTACCTGAAAAACAGTTTGACTGTGTAATTAGCATTGTCCTATAAAATTTTTAGAGTTTTAATTATTGTCTCTTATTCTTACTATATAATCTATATCTAAGTGAATAGTGTGCTGGATTGGAATTCAGAAGACCTGTGTCCAATTCACATCTCTGTCACTGGCCTGCTGGCTGCTCTTGAGCAAGTCGCTTCATCTCTCTGTGCCTCATTTTCCCTATCTCTAAAAAGGATGGCAATATTATTTCTTTTATGAAGTACTTTGAAGTCTATAGCTGAAAAGCAATATATAGACCTAGGCAGTACACTATTTCCTAACTCTGCTTAATTCTAGGATTCTGGGAATATTTTTTGCAACTTTAACCAAGTGAGTTTTTGTATGGCATTTCTTATGTTTATTATATGACATCATTTGGCTAGATATCAGCAGAGGGCCTTATCCCAAGCATTTTATGAAGCCCATCTCTATGAATGTTAGGAACTGTGGTGCTCCTGCTTTCTGGCTGGCAGAGTAGGGCTCCTTACATAGTCCATGGGAGCTATTATATATTATGTAAGTTTCTGAAGCCAGCAATTTTGACAGGCCCTGATTTCAGTACTTGAACATTGTGTAAAGTGTGCCTATAAATCTGTCAGGTATATGTACAACTCTGCCATTCTTAGATGCATGCTTCATACCTGCTATCGTTGTGATTTACTGCTTGTGCATACCTTTCATTTTTCACAAGCCTCAGTTAAATCAAAATAAATTTTCGTTTGGTTTCAACTGAAACTAATAGCTTAAGATTTAGTATTCAGATTTTCTCCTTTTCCCTATTTGGAACTGGTTACATGTAGCTGCATTTAATCAATGATGTTGCCCAAAAACTTAAACCTCAGCTCAGGTGCTTTGTGCTATATTAGCTGTGATTCCTCACATGAGAGCACACTGAATAGCTTAAGATTAAGGTTATTTTCTTGCTGTTGGCAGAGCTCCTAAATGCCAGGTTTCTGTGGGCACCCTTTTTCAAGTTGGGGGCCACTGACCCACAGAAAAATCAGGCAAGGGCCACACGCAAATGAGAAGTAAAAAAACAAAAACAAAACACCTCACTGCAGTGGGCCCGACTAGGAAAGAGAGAGACATTCTCCACATTCCCCTCACACACCAGAGCCTAGACTAATAGGCTGTGTCTAGACTGCATCTGTCTGCCGACAGAGGGATGCAAATCAAGCACTTCAGAGGTGCAAATGAGTCCGGGATTTAAATATCCTGGGCTTCATTTGCATACTTACATTCTGACACTGTGGTGATCAGGCTCAGTGTCTAAAGTGAAAGTAAAGTGTAGTCCTGGCTCTGCCAACACCGGGGAGCTTTTTCTGCAGCTTCTGTACTCCTGAGTGCTTGATTTGCATCCCTCTGTCGGCAGAGGGATGCAGTCTAGATGTAGCCATAGATTTTGTCTACTCCAGCCCCATAGGAGGAGAGTGGAAGAGGAGCCCCCAAGCCTCATGGGAGCCGGATCCAGGCAAGCCAGCTCCCGGGTCTTAGGTTCCTCAGCATGTATTAGTATATATTTTTTATTTATGAATGTTATTCTCTTGTAGTTATTAGGAAAAATAGTATTGCTTATGCATCTTTTATATTTTTTCAGAACAATTCTTTATTTATGATAATTGGTTAGAAGTAGTTTACTTCTTGCATATGACATACCTCTTATCTCTCCCCCTGCAGTCTTTTTTGTGCACAGTGTTTTTTTGGTTGTAAAGAATTTCCAGAGTAGTGGTTTTTTTTTTAACTTGGTTTGTCAGAAGCACAGAAGAATAGCAATGACAAGAATTTAATTCCAAGTTAGTACAGGTTGTACCTCTAAAATCCAGGATTCTCAGGTCTGGCAAACATCCGTGGTCCAGCATGACCATGGATATTCCAGGATCAGAGAGTCCCAGCGCACTGCAGAGGTATGTGGGTCCAGGAGCTGACCCACGGCTTGTTGGACTGCAGTGGTTGGGCTCAGAGCGGGCACATGGCTCATCTGGGCTGGCGAGGAGCCAGGAGCTGGTGTGTGGCTCAGCTGGGATGCAGAGAGAGCCAGGAAGCAAGGTATTTAAACTAATGCTTAAATACCTTGCTGAACCAAGGCCTTCATGTTCTTTGTAAAGAAAGGGGACCAGATTCTCAGCTGGTATAAATTAGCACAGCTCTATGTGAATCCAAAGGAGTTATGCTGATTTTATATTAGCTAAGGGCTCCTGAGCTCAGCTTTTCATTACGTAGTTCTTAAGTTGTCATAGGCTTTCTCTACACTAACCATTTTTTTAAAGTGTTTTTTTACTCCCTCTGGTGCAGCTCCACAAGATGTAGCCGTAGAGGGAGAACTAGTATAAACTGGGAACCCTAATGTCTTCCTAATGTTTCAAAGCACATGTAGATTCAATAGTGGTACAAATATCAGTTAATGTTGATGCTTTGTGTATGACACCAGGGGACCTGCATCACTGGTAGCATCACTGTGGGAGAGTTTACAGTAATGGTTGTTACAGGTAAGACCTGTAATAACCTTTTTTTTTGTTGGCTGTTTTTTACTAACACATTTGATTAAGGGAATCTTTGTTAAACGCTGAGTTCATTCTGTATCCCCTGCTTTAAGTGACAGTGCTTAGTGTTTGGAAGTATGCAGGTGGTTCTTCAGTAATATCTGAAGAAACCAGACCAACCATTCCTGATATTTCTAAGGCTTTTTAAAAAGAGCAGGAACAAACCCTTCATTTTTAAAACAAACACATTTTTTCTTTAATAAAAACACTTTCATTTTGTAAAGATATGTCAGCTACATGGACAAAATTCAGCACTGGACCAGTGACAAATTTTCTAAGTGTAAAATGTCAGGATTTCAAATTCTCATGTCTTTAAGCCCTGCAATGCTAGACCTTGGAACTTTCTAATATTGGAAAGTGGGGAATTCACAGCTTCCCAGTGAGAATAAACACTCAGTTCTAGCCCTGGAAGGAACTGAGATAACAGACTTCAGAGTCCCGAAACACTTACAATGCATAGGTGAATTTATAATAACTAAAGCAAGCACCTGACTTTGTAGCCAGAATGTGTTAGAAAAAAAAATCAGTTATTAATAGGGAATGTTTTGCGGAGACCTATGTCTTCCTATAATGTATGAGTCATATCTTTAATGGTGTAGTATAATAAAGCCTTTATTGACATTTGTTAGAGGTGATTTCATAACTTTCTTGTAGTTATTAATTCACATTAAATTCATATTGTGAAAGGTCCTGCAATTGTTGTGTATCATCTATGGTATATAGTGCATATAATACATACCTCATATATGTTTATATATATATAATAAATTATCATTTGTCTAACTTAGTCTTTAGGTTTAAGTGAAATGTTTGTTACCCTCAAAAAATTACAGCAGCTTTTTAAGCATATTTTAAGGAGGGGGTCAGATTTGGGCCCTACTGATTTTGACAATCAGATTTCCCAGAGTTTAGGGTTTTTTTGTTTTGTTTTGTTTTTTAATGGAGGGTAAAATAGCATTTGGTATTCAGGTGTCTTTGGAAGAGAGAAGGTTCAAAAATATTTCTGTTTTTGAAGTACAATTTCTGAAATATATATGGATACCTTTTGGGTTTTTAAAAATCCATTTTTATTTCATTACTTAAATTTTGAAGTTGGAATCGTTGTATGTTTGTCAGAAGTGAGAAAAATATAATAATTTATTACACTCAAATCTGAGGCCTGTTCTACATAAACTGGTGCAAACAAGTGTTCATTTAAACCAGCACTAGCGTATGGACACTTGTCTTATTTTCAGTAGCTTGTTTTGCTGTGGGTTAAAGCTGTTCTTGACTTAAGCTAAATTGAAATATGACAGTCTTAAAGAAAAAAAAATCCACAATGGTGTTTTCACTGTCTTAACAAAATCTGTTTAGATTAATTAAATTTATTTAAATCAATTAAAGTTCATAGCATGTCTGTCTGGCAAGGTGCATGTTTAGACTATTTTGGGTTGAATCATTCATGCAGACTTGTGCAAGAATAACTATTGTAGGGATACAGAGGGGTAATCATGTTAGTCTGTAACTTTAAAAACAACGAGCAGTCCTGTGGCACCGTAGAGACTAAAATACATAAATAGGATCATGAGCAGGGCTCGCCGAGCCACGGCAAGCCCCACTCGCCAGATCGCCTGGCTCTTCCGGGATGTAATCTACTCATCCCTGCTGCCCAGCCTCTGTCCCATCCTTCCTGAACCTTTCTTTCCACCTCAGAGGTTTTTCTGCCTACTACCAGTGTTCTCCATCTTGATAATTTTGTGTATTACTTTGTGATATGATCATCAAGTGATTGATCACAGTCCAGGCCCCTTAGTTATCACCCTTCAGATGCTCTTTTTATTGCCATTTTGTAGTTATTTTGGTCCTGGAATATGGGAGAGACAAAGTAGGTGAGGTAATTTATTTTATTGGATCAACAACTGTTAGTGGAAAGTACAATATTTTGAGTGACACAGAGCTGTGGGGGCAGATTGTTAAAGAGTTAACTCATGTTGGAGGCAGATCTCTTGAAATGAAATGGGCAATTGAAGGTTACTTTGTTATGCATAAAGGGTTTGATGTGGGCTATTAAGGATAGCAGGCAGTGTAATGCATTGCAAATTGTTGCAATGAGCCATAAAACCAGTGTCCCTGTAAGTCTATGGCTTTTTTTTTTTTTGTCTAGCAGAATTATAAATTTAAGTTTCCATACTTGCTTTTCCAGCGTCTTGTGCAGATTTCCCTTGAATTGCATCATGGAAAGGGCCTTCTAAATACCCTAGGATAATTTGCTTCAATAAGAAAAGAAACAACTGCTAACCTCATCTAACTCATGACACAGACAATCACTGTGTTCTCTAATAAACTCTTTAAGAAATATTATAAAAGGCATATCACCAAAAGACCAAAAACAACATATCACCTATGGGTGAACACTTTTCACAGTATAATCCCTCCATATTTAATGTTTCCCTTGAGGACAAGGGAAACCAGCCAACATCTCAAAAGGCCAGTCTGAGAACTTCAATTAATAACCCCTCTAGATGTGAAAAGCCATGGATTTTACAAGGATGCTGGTTTTATGGCTCATCACAGCCTCTCTGTGACTACACAACAATCTGTGATACACAAACCGTCTGCTACCCTTAATTGCCTGTTTCAAGCCCTTTGTGCATAACAATTTAACTCCATTTCTTTTCAAGTGACTGTCTCCAACATATTACCTCTTCTACTTAAGAATCTATCCCCACTTGAATTTAGCTCTGCTTCCTTCCCCAGACCTGAAGAAAAGCTCTGTGTAGTTCAAGAGCTTGTATTTTCCAACAACAGTTGATCAAATAAAAGAAATGACCTCACCTATCTTCTATCCTTTTAATGAATACAGCTGCCACTATAAGGACATAATTGTTGAGGAGATGGGTGGGAAGCATTGACAGACCCTGGATTTCAAGGGGTTGAAAGGGACAGGGCAATCCAGTCTGGCAGAATTTTGCTTTGGTTCCCAGCAGCATTTAGTGACCAAAACATACTTTAACAAAGACATCCTACAAATTGCAAAAATAATGTTATATCATGAGGCGCATTAGTGAAGAATCATAGACTTTCCTTAACGGTAGTTTGGAATCCACTTTTGCAATCTTTTAGTATAGAGCAGCTATTAACTTTCTATGTACTAAAGCTGGAACTCCTGCTATGCAATCAGCGAACTTCAAATCTAGCTTTCATCACAGTGTTGTATCTGAGATCATCTTCTCTGAACTGAACATCTAGATTTCTTTAGATCTGGTCAGTTTTATTGAGTTTGCATTGAAAGTGTAAAGCCAATTGTTATAACATGGAAAAAATCTTTTTTATTATTATTTGATAGCACACTTAAAAGAAAGACTAGACGAGTACATTAAGCAATGGAATGGCCTAGTAAAGGTATTTCGAAATGAGAGGAGAGAAGGTTTAATTCAAGCTAGAAGCATTGGAGCCCAGAAGGCTAAACTTGGACAGGTAGAAAATATTTGATTAAATAAAATAATTTATATTTACTTACAGTTTAAATAGATATTTTTAACAAATCTTAAAATTGTTATTTTATTATTAATATTGTTGAAATAAAATGTTTTAAATTCTTAAAAGCTTGCTGTAGTGTGGTATCACACCATAGTGTAATAAAAAACTTGTAGAAGTTTGTGTAAAAATTTAAGATATATGAAAATTAAATCAGTGTGTTATTTTTGTTTACCGAAATCTCAAATGATATTATATCTCCCTGCCTTTTTTGTTTGTTTTTTGTTTTTGTTTTTAAAGGTTTTGATTTACCTTGATGCCCATTGTGAGGTGGCAGTTAACTGGTATGCACCACTTGTAGCTCCTATATCTAAGGACAGGTAAAGCTATCCTGTTTTTTTCTTTAACTCAAAGAGCCTCCTAAGAAGAAAAATAGTAACAGTAGCAATCTTCATATTTTGAACCATATTCAGTGTTTTGTTCATAATACAACTATTGCATATCTCCCAGAGTGGAAGATATTGTCATGTAACAAATGAAATAGTTGTGCAAATGAATCTCTAATTAGTTTATTTAATAGAGGTACAGGCAGTCCCCGGGTTACGTACAAGATAGGGACTGTAGGTTTGTTCTTAAGTTGAATTTGTATGTAAATGGGAACTGGTACATATTGTAGGGGAAACTCTAGCCAAACATTTCTCCAGAGCTCAGTTTTATTCTCCCACACCTCACTTCCCTCAGTCCTTTATTCTCAAGCTGAGGTGTCTGCTGAGAAAAAGCCGCTCCGCGTCTCCCTGGTCTGCTGGGGGGAAGCAGCTAGTGCGGGGTTGCCTCACCCCGTTTGTAAGTTGGGATCCGATGTAAGTCGGATCCATGTAACCCGGGGACTGCCTGTACTGAAATGTGGATTACATTTAAGGAGAATCCAGTCCATTCCAATGGCTTTCCTATAGGACCCGTTGTGGAAATATCCTACTACGGATGAATGAGCAGCCTGATTAAACAAGATTGTTTTTAAAGCTGACCAAAATATATTTAAAATTGAGATTTTAATTGGGGAGGGAGAAAGAGCTCAACTTTGACTTAGGCTTTTAGTAGTCTGAAAATTCCCACTATCTTAAGGTTGCAATAAATATGTTCTTTGTTACTATAAAATATATTTGCTTCTCTTAAATATGAAGATAGAGAAGTGTTTCAAACAAATCCTCACCTTGCCTGCAAGCCCAGATGTACTAATAGTTTATTAATGAAACTCCATTTGAGCCATAAAGAGGATCCCAACTGTCTGTTCCTTTGAACCACCTGACTGCTGCCGTTGTTCTGTGCTGTTGCATTTTAGCTTTAGTTGGTTTATAGTAGTCGCTGGAGTGGTATGGGAGTGTAGCATATCTTTATTTTAAAATTGTTGAATCCTTTCAGCCTGTTGTCCCACTAGAATGTTAAAAGCCACAAATATGTCTAAGGCTTAAAAAATGCCATGAAACAAGTCCTGCAATGCCACTGCATTGGTGATAGGCCAGCTTTCTAGGTACTTCAGTTGTACCTAGAAGAGGAGCACTTAACTTGCTCCTGTTCAGTCTAATGTTCCTTTAACTGAGCAAGGAAAGACAGAGAAAACTGGTTGCGGAAAACATTGACGAAACAAGTTCAAAGAAAAAAACCTAGGGGAAGATGTTAGTGTTGCGGGCCACAGTAATGAGGGGTGCTGCTATTCCATTATACAAAGCCCTGAAATGGAAATTTGCTGAGTTAGATAAAAGAGTTACTTCAATCTCCTGGTTAGAAGTAAAGCATTATGTGGCATTTTCCCTTTTCTTTTTCTTCTTCTTCTTCTTCTTTTCACCTTGAATGTAGAATTTGCCTCTAAGATGGAACCTTTAGGAAAAGCTTAAGCTTTTGATTCAGTCAATGCATTAGGAGAGTCTATTGTCAAAACACTGGGAGAAAAACAAGAGAATATTTATCTTCATTGCATATTATATCTAAAAGATCACCACAAACTGTGTATTTGCAAATCTTTTAATGGAATGTTTGGCCATTATTTTTAAAACCACTGGTGAGACATGTGCAATCCAACAGCAGCAAGGTTTGGTTCGGTTTGGTTTTCCAGTGCCTGTGGGAGGAAGGGGTGCAGGGAAGGCCATCCAGAGGGGTAGGGAGGGAACTTGTGACAGCCCCCCATTTAGCAATTAAAATGTTGGCAGGAGTATTGGGGGTGGTGTAACTCCCAAGTGCTACTATGAGTCACTTATAGGCAACAATTATATAGTCTTAAATAGTGAAAGATCCTATTTGCAACAAGAAGAGTTAGAACTATTTTTGCATTTTGACATCTGAGATGCCACATGAACAGCAGTGATTATGGAAAAATTATACAGTTGTAAGAGCTGTACTTCCCCTGTCCTTTAACCCTCAAGGTCTCCCGTTTTTCCCCCTCATTGCCCCAGGTAATATTGTATCTGAAGGCCAATGGTTAGGATGGGTACGTCAACATTTCAGCCATAACTTGTCTGCTTTCAGTATGCATTTCATAGATTACAAGGCCAGAAGAGACAACTGTGATCATCATCTGACCTTTTGTATAACAAAAGTGATAGAATTTCCTCAAAATAATTTCTAGACCGTGCATTTTTAAAAAAACAGCAATCTTTTTTTTAATTGCCAGTGACAGAGAATATAGCATGACTTTTGGTAAATTGTTCCAATGGTAACTTTTTACGGTGCAAGTTATTAATGCCTTGTTTCCTGTCAGAATTTGGCTTGTGACCATAGAATTGTATAATTTGATGCATGGCCTTAGTGTGTGGACTGTTAAAGGTATATTATTTTTTCTTCCAATAAATGGAGTGTTACATTTTTGAGATACATAATTACATTTGACCTTCATTTTAGTTACATTTCAATACAAAATAAAAGTTAATGGTAGATGTAGTAAAATAGACAGCATATCTTTCTTAAATTATATTTTGCTTTCTTCTTTTCCTTCTATAATGTTTCAGAACTACATGTACTGTGCCTCTAATAGATTACATAGATGGGAATGATTATTCCATTGAGCCTCAGCAAGGTGGGGATGAAGATGGTTTTGCCAGAGGGGCCTGGGATTGGAGTTTACTGTGGAAAAGAATTCCATTAAGCCACAAGGAAAAGGCTAAAAGAAAGCATAAAACTGAGCCTTATCGGTAAACAGTGCTGTCTTTATTCTGGAATTGTTTTGAATGCATATCTAAATCATCTCATTTTTCCCCCTCTTTTCCTATGAACTACGATTCGTGTAAATGTGACATATGGGTCCTTGTACCTAACCTCATCCTCACTGCCGCCATCCACAACCCTGCAGAACCACATGCACTGTGCCGCTCATAGATGTCATAGATGGCAACACTTATGCTATTGTACCCCAAGGGGGTGGTGACGAAGATGGGTTTGCTAGAGGAGCATGGGATTGGAGTATGCTATGGAAGAGGGTGCCTTTGACCAAGCGAGAGAAGGAAATGAGAGAGACAAAAACTGAACCGTATCGGTAATCACTAAATCACTTACCCACTTCTTTTCTTAAGGAGTAATGATCTACTAAATACTTTCACATACTTTTAAAACAACTAAAGATGCTTTATCCAAAAAAAGTATCTAACTATATTACTAAGTATTTTGGAAATGCTGCTTATGTAGCTTCACTAACTCCTTGTGCCTTTCTGTTTCTCTTGTTATGTACTTAACACTCCAAGCAAAACATAGGATGTATTTCAAAATACAATTTTGAAATATTCTTATCATTTAGTTTCCAAGCAAAATTCATGGAACTATTAATGGGGGCCCTTTTCAGGTATAGCTTTGGGAACAATAATTGCTCATTTAATTATTTGTTCCATAATAAGCTTGCTACAAATGTTCAAAAAATCATAATATATAAAATGTTTTCTCTCATGGATGCATGTGTACAGCTCCTTGTTAACAGGTTAATACAAGTGCATCAGGAGCCCTTTTTTTTGTCAGATTGTTCCCACTTTCTTTGTGAAAGGTCACATCTGATCTACTTCAGTATTCAGTACTTTTAATCTTAGAAAGATAACCTGTTAGCTCTAAGTTTGCTCCCTGCAATGTACTTAACTAAAAGAATTCCAGGCTATTATGAATTCTGTGTATTTTATCCTATTTCTTTTGCTTCATGAGTGGAACGTTTTCTATCAAAAATACATGCAAAATTGCTTAAAATTAGTGTTACTGAACTTCTTTTGAAACTTGGGAGGCTGTGGTTCTGCTCTGTATTTTCCTTTATAGTACTGTAATCTTGGAATCAATTACTTTTATTTGAAAGTACTTTCATGTATTTAGAAAATAGTATTTCATATCACTTTTTATGTTTTAAACAAATTGCAGGAACTGATATTATATTTCATTCAGCCCCTCACTTCATGATTTTTCTTTGCAAAAATGGCAAAACATTGAAATTACAAAGCTTTGGTCCATTTTAAGTAATATAGTCAATATCCTTTCCTAGAAAAGAAGGCAGTCCAGACTGGAACTGTATTATCACTAAACTAGTCAATGTTAAGCTGTCTTAAAAGTTGCTATCACATTCCTTGTCCACAGCTCTTTAAAATCCTTAAACTGTTTTCAGAACAGTTCTGAGGGTGAAAATTTAAAAAAGAAAAAGGTTTAGATGCCAACTCTTGTAGTTGAATTATTAACCATTTATATCTCTTAAAAAGGGCATCATTAAATTAAAAATTATTTCTTAATTTTATGAATGCCACCACCATGAAACAAAGCAGATTTAAAAAAAATCTATTCACATTTGATGTTATTAGTTTGCTTGATTGGATTTTACTTAGCTCAGCAAGGGTAAGATGGAGACTTTGTTTCTATTCCTGTCTGCCACAGATCATCTTGATGACCAGGAGACTCTGTAGTCCTGTTGCCTTATCTGTTGTGCTTAAAAAAAAAAATAAAAAAAAGTAAGTTCTCTACCTCACAGGGTTTGGGTGAGCTTAATTCATTAATTGTTTATAGCGCTTTTAGATCCTGAGGTGGAAAGCACAGTACAAGTCCAATGAAAATAGAATAGCTAGTTTAACTTTCTCATGTGCCTAGCATGTGCTAAAGAATTTTATTTGCAACCATTGCACTAAAATGTTTAAATAAAAACTAGAATATCTTTTCATTTAAGTTTTTAATTTTATCAAATTGGCACATGTAGAAGGTTTTACAAAATTATTTTATTAGCAAAAACCTAAATTTGAAGCCTGTACATTGCCCATCTTGAAAATGTCATGGAGAATAATTCTAAATTATTTTTCCTCTGTGCCTGACCCTCCCACTGATTTCACATTAATTTTAAAACTATATAACTAGAATGTTGCACAATGAGATTTCAAGGTGGCAGCTTCTCAGAACAATGTGTACAGTAGAGCCTAGTCTACTGCACTTGCTGTCAAATGCCTCAAGAGATTAATAGACTTTTTTCTATTTATCACCACAGTGATTCTTCTCAAGGTAACAAGTGGCATGCAACTTTATATGCAAATTGGCTGCCTGGAAACCCCAATTCCTAGTGCTCTAAATATTTCAGAACTGTAATAAGTGATTTCTTTAAAACTACCACAAGTGTCAAATTCAGGAAATCACAGTAAACTTATAATGAACCAGTAACAAAGCCTAGTAATTTCTAAATGGATTGCCATTTTAATTACTTATTTAATTAAGAGTAATTTTTTTTTCCAGAAAACTGTCATGTTCTGTCAGTGAAAGGAATTTGTTATTTCTTTCTTTTAGGTCTCCTGCAATGGCTGGTGGATTATTTGCCATAGAACGTGACTTCTTCTTTGAACTTGGTCTCTATGATCCAGGTCTTCAAATCTGGGGAGGTGAAAACTTTGAAATTTCTTACAAGGTAACTGCAAAATTGATCTGTCTTTTAAAATGAAAAAATAACCTAGTTCTAGAAGTACTTATACTTTCTTTACTTTCAAATGAAAGAAAATACTGTAGAGTGGTTATATTTAAAACATATGTACAGTAGACTTCCGATAATCCGGAACCTATGGGATTTAGGTGGTGCCGGATTATCAGATATGCCGGACTATCAGGAGGTACTATAAGCAGGTTATATATATATACTGTATACATTATATACTGTATATAAAGTGTTCTTAACCCTTTTTATTGTACATACTGTATACAGTATACTGTAATGCTTTAGGTTTTTTAAGCCTTTTTTACCCTTGCTCAGTTCAGCTGCTGCCGCTGTTACCTTGTGACTCTTTTTTTGCTGAAGCTCACTCACTAGGCTCTTGCCATTTTGATGCTGGACTATCAGGAATGCCGGACTATTGGAGTTTTACTGTATAAGCATAGTAAAAAGTGCTCTTATTTAATAAAAGGAGTTGTGTAAGATAAGCTCCTATATCTCTCAGAATAGGTACATATGACATAGATGGACATGGCTTTAAAGAATTCTGTCAAGAAAACTAAATATACCAATGCTTTCCCCTTTCCTCATCAATCTTCTGAGTGAAAAATGACTTTATAGTTCTTCAGAATTATGAATTTAAAAAAAATAAAAGAATTGTGCCAAAACAAGGGTTAATAAATAGAAAAATTCCAACCAAGTTACTCCTCACCAACTAATCCAGGGCACAGGATGTTGTTGTGATTGCTAGACACGTGTGCTCTTCCATCTAGCAAGATGTATTAGGATCATAAGAATTAATTTCTTATATCCGTTTATTCTGCTTGCACCTACGTCCTTTGGAGTCTAGAGAGGTGTGTCCCCAATAACAGGAACAAATGTTTTAGGTGGAGTTTCCGATCTTACATCCTCGACAATAACCCTTTAATTTGGGGTTGAATTTTATTAAAGAAACTGAGCACATTTGTAATCAGATTGCAACACCAATCAGAACTCTCCTAATGAGCCTCAATGCTCATTTGCAATGCCTTTCTTTTTCCAGTGCTGAGTCTTGCTTGAGCAAGGACTGCTTTGGGGTTTAGAAATTGAGAAAGGTCATTGTAGTGGTGTAGGCTCCCTTCTCTAGAGAAAAAAGGGCTAAAAACAGCCCTGGGAAAGGGCTGTCCTGGGATCCAATTGTAGGTGAGCTAGAATAAGCCAATCAGTGCCCAGGAGGGCTTTATAAAAGGTATGACTAGTCAGGCTGAAGACTCTCTTGCTTCAGCTCTAGAGGGAAGAAGGACCTAGATGCCTGCTAGCATAGGAACAATGGACAGAGAATGCTGGAGGAAAGGCAGCATGAGCCAGGGGACCTCTGACCCTAGCATACACAAGCTGAGGCCCAGTAACAGAGGCCAGAGGGGGTTCTAGAGCTGCAGGGAGGCAGCCAGGGCAGTAGAAAGCAGCAGGTCTACACCCCCTTGCCTATAAGTGACCATTTCAGACTGTAGTTTGCCCCTGAGGTAAGGGACTAGATGATGACAAGCAGTAGGGTCACTGATTCATGGAGGGTATATGGGGTTAGGGATTCCCTGAGGTGGAGGACCCTAGAGTGTGGGGGCACTGTGGCAGGGCTGAGGGACTGGCGCTGCAGTCTGGGAGCGACATGGTTCCTAACATAAAGTGGCAGAGGCATTAACACATAAACAGGTAACAGCAAGGGAGACAGCGGCTGGAAGGGGGGCGCTCCAGTGCTTAGTTAATTCCTGCATAATTGGCAGGACGTGCAACAGCGATGAGTAATGCCCTATTACACAGCTTTCCTGGCAGCCATGTCCCTCCTGCTCCATCTCTGGAACAAGAGTGTCTCCCAGGGCTGTTTTTAACCCTTTTTTCCGTGGAGCAGGGTGACCGCCCCACTACAGTTATTTAGTGATTTTTATAGTCACAGTGGAGGTAACTACATAGTCCTATAATGAACATTTAAACTGTTTTAATCTGTGTTCATATTTGTTTTTTGTCCATAATTCTTCAAAAGAACAAAACACCACATTAGCCAATGTTATGCTCAAGCTTGCAAATATAACATTATGGAATATCGGAATTTGTAAAGGAAACCTCTTTAGGTAAACTTTTAAACAAAACTGCTCAAAGAAAACAAATAGGGTAATAAGATGCACAAAGTGAAGAATGTAAAATAATCATAATAAAAAACAAATATATTATGAACACATAGTCCCAAGTCATGCAGTCCAAACAGAGGCGTAGCGAAGGAGGGACAATTGCCCCTGGGCGCCACGTTAGGGGGACGCTGGGCTGGGGTGAGAGTGAGCGCACGCTGCGCAGGCTCACCTGACGCTCATGGGGGGCATGTTATATGGGCTCGTGGTGCCCATGCTCTAGCAATATTCAGAGCCGGGGGCCCTGCTCCCGGGAACGGGGAGGGAGTGGGAGAGGAAGGCACCAAGAAACAGCCTGGAGGAGAGACACATGCTAGGGGGCCAAGTGGAGACAATGAGGAAAAGGGCAGGAGGAGAGGTGTCAGTGGGAGGGGGGACAGAGTGATGCTGGGAGAGGAGAGGGTAAGGTTATTGGGGTCTAGAGGGGTGAGGGGGAGGTACTGGGAGAAGGCTTGAAAGACGGGGTGGGCATGAGAAAGGTGGGGATGGAGCAAGTCATGTGTGAATGACGTGACGTCACAGCCTGAGACTTAAAACTGCTCGGTGCTGCGTTGCGCTGCACAGCCTAGCTCCCGGTTCGGAGTCCAGGACCCGAGTGCAGACTCCAGCCCCACAAAGTGGAAGGCAGAAGGTGCGGTAGGGGGAAAACTAGGAGGAAGGGGTGGGAGAGGAAGGGGCTTGTGCGGAGCGGGAACGGGGAGGGAGTGGGAGAGGAAGGCACCAAGAAACAGCCTGGAGGAGAGACACATGCTAGGGGGCCAAGTGGAGACAATGAGGAAAAGGGCAGGAGGAGAGGTGTCAGTGGGAGGGGGGACAGAGTGATGCTGGGAGAGGAGAGGGTAAGGTTATTGGGGTCTAGAGGGGTGAGGGGGAGGTACTGGGAGAAGGCTTGAAAGACGGGGTGGGCATGAGAAAGGTGGGGATGGAGCAAGTCATGTGTGAGGGCACAGGGGCATGAGGCGAATGGGGGAAGAGGGTGATGAGGGTGAGCATCAGGGAAAAGAGGGCAAAGGGGGCAGGGGCAGTGAGGGAAGGGGGAGGCACCAGGAGGGTGCAGGGCTAAGGGAAGGTGCAGGTGCCAGGGGATTCTGGGGGTGAAGCAGAAGGGCAGACACCTACAGGGGAGGGACCAGCACCAGAGGGGAGAGGCAGTGCAGGTGTGTAGTGGGAGGTGTTAGAGGGGATGAGGAGGGGTAGCTCACATGATCAGAGTGAGGCTACTGGAGGAATGGGCACAGGGGGGAGAGAAGGGCTGGTGGAGGGGGGCAGGTCGCAGGAGGGCTGAGGGCAGTGAGAAGGGCAAGAGTCAGGACAGCAGAGGAGGGTGAGGAGTTGGGGGGCAGCAAGCACCAGGGGAGTTGAGGGAGCAAGGGGAGGAGACATGGCAGCAGAGAGAAACGGTAGAGGTTTATAAAATATTTATTAATAACTTGGGTGCCACAGTGGCACATCCAAATAAGCCCCATGGACTCAGTACTAGTGCACAACACAAAATTCATTCTGCTCATGGGAAGATGCGGTGCAAGCTACCCTCAGCTGTGCACCAGGTTCGGGGCTGTGCCACGTGGCGGCGGGGGGCGGAAATTTTTCTTTTGCCCCCAGGCGCATAACACCCTCTCTACACCTTCGAGTCCAAATCTGGAATTTATATGATTTGAAGTGGCCCCACTGTTTTAATGCCTTCAGATCAGGTGTAACAGTTCAGGCCAATCGTTAATTATAAACATTTAAACACAACATTATTTAAACTACATTTAAACTTTTTTTTTTTTTAATTTAAAGGCTGACACCAAAATGTTAGGTGTATGTGTTATTGTGTCAAACTTTCACTCTGGTATTCTTCTCCTCTTTTTAGTTTTAGGGTTACAACAGTAATGTTGATGTGTAAATAGTTTTCTATTAACTGAAGGCTTGATCTCTTCAGGATATTAACAAAGTCCCAAAGAAGGTCACCAAAATTATCTCCTAATTCTGATGCAATTTTTTTAAGATTCTCCCTTAGCCACTGCTACTGTATTTTGGGATGGACAAATCTGTTCAGAGTAGAGTAGTCCAGTGAGTTAACCGAGAGTTCTGTGTCCTCATAACTTTCAGTAGGAAAAATATTTTGGGTAAGTATAAATGCTGAAGTACTGCCTATGATGATGAAATATTAACTGATGTTTAATAAAATAAATCTAATTACTTCCATTTTTTGTATACACATTTATTCCTGTTTTTGCAGATAGTCATGGAATAGGATCCCAAAAATATGATTTATAAAATGGTGTTTATAAACACGTCCATTGTAAAACTAATGAATGTCATGGATATAGCCCAGGATTTCTATTTCAAGCCCTCATTTGAAAGTTGATGCTTAAGCTTGAAGAAAATTATTTTATGAACTCAGCATGTTATCCAGTTAATCTAATTCTAAAATATCTAATCTGTTTTTAAATTAGTTTATATTTTTCTCAAGTTTAGCTTGTATGTATATTATCAACTTTTCCATCACTCTTTTTTCCTGAACTTGTAGATCTGGCAGTGTGGAGGGAAGTTGTTGTTTGTTCCTTGTTCTCGTGTTGGACACATCTATCGTCTCCAGGGCTGGCAAGGAAATCCACCCCCGGTGTATGTTGGGTCTTCTCCTACACTGAAGGTAGGGCTTTACATAAAACTACAGAGTGGTACAATAATGATGTTTGTACACATGCTATATTTCTTCTTTATTACAAGTCTTTCAGTATGTCTCTATGAGAGTGCTCTGCTGTAGGATAAGTATGCACCTTTGCACTTATGACCAGAGAATGCAAAGCGGTCTACCTTAGTATTGACTGACACGTCCAGCTTTTAGTATACCACCCATGATTGAGAGCCCCTTTGAAGGCTCTGACATAGACTCTGATCACTGGAAATTTATGTTCATGCAACAGAAAGATTTTGTAGAATTCAAATGTCATAGAAATATAGGCTGTTCCATTACAACCCACAACAGGTTTTTCCCAGACCCTCAGATGCTGCCATGAGCAAATCTGTGCCCATAGACACCACTTTGCATTCTCAGTCAAGAGGGCACAGGTGCATGTACATCCTATAATGGAGCACCCACAGGGACAAAATACCTGGAAGAACTCAAATTACTGTAAGTTATCATATGCTCCTCATTTGAGGAAACCTTATATTTCTTTAAGAATAATCACTAAGTCCTTTATTCCAACTGCCTTAGTCTGATAAATCTGATTGCAGCACTCGTTATTTATATGAAAATTCCTCATCGGGGCTAATTTTCTCCCTAAGTAAAATATACATCACTACTACCCTCATAAATACTGTGCTATAATAATAATATTCTATTCTAGTTTAACTGCTGTTCTGTTTTTGAAAGTGACAATGTAAAACTGGTCTCTTCTTACCAAACACTTCTGAACCCTTGTATGTTCAGTGATATCCACTTATTTGAATGACAGGAATGTCCTAACTGCATATTGTTAACATTGCACTATGCTTAAAGTAAGTACTATATGTGCCCCATGCATTCAGATATTACGGTGATGCGGTCCATATAAGAATGTGGATAAAATACCTCACATAACAGGTAGCTAGAGAGCTTGCTACAAGGAATGAAAACAAGGCGGGAAAGACAGTTTGTGATAAGATTCTGTGAAGTTGAAGATAATTTTAATCTATATCTGTCTGTCTGTCTAAAAGTTTATGAGTAATTCCTATTCATACTGTTGAGCCAGTGCAAACACCGGAGAGAAGGTGGAATCTCTGTGCTCTATCAATTGAACTGTTTAACGGTTGGTCCACACTTAGAAGTATTGAAAAACGTATGCTCCTAAGAGGTGTCATTAAGGTGACATACGCTCCAATATAGACACCCCTAAGACAATTAAGGAATTCTTCCGTCACCTTAACTACTACCAGAAGTTTAGGTGGGAGGATTAGCTACGGTGACTGAAAAAATCCTTGTGTCGCTATAGCTGGTGTCTGCACTATGGCACTGCAAGTGACACAACTGTGCTGCATATTTTCTATAGTGTAAACAAGCCCTAAGATCCAAATCAGTTAAACTTGTGGAATCCAGTTGGGGATTAATAGATGTCTAATAGTTGGATGTGTAGAAGGTGAAAATAAACTCCAGATGGTACTTCACATTTCCTAGAGTATTGCAATCATATGAACAGCACTGTTTTCCTGGTATTCATAACTAAGGCATCTTTTTCTCCAAAAAGAGAATTCCCTAGACTGAGTAATAATTACAGCCTTCACTAAACTTACTTAATTATGCTAGTGTTACCCCAGAAATATATAAAAAGCTACTCTTGTGCTGTATCTTCTGTTAAAGATGGCAAATTATGAGTGCTATGAAAAGCATGTATTAACAAGCTTATAAGAATTCTTAAATCTGTGGGATTAAATTCCTCATAGAACCAATATCTTGTATATGTTTTGCAATAGTGATGTTTTTCCCCTCACAGAACTATGTCAGAGTTGTGGAAGTTTGGTGGGATGAGTACAAAGATTACTTCTATGCCAGTCGCCCAGAGACGAAAGCTCTACCATATGGGGATATATCTGAGCTGAAAAAGTTTCGAGAAGATCACAACTGCAAAAGTTTCAAATGGTTTATGGAAGAAATAGCCTATGATATAACATTACACTATCCCTTACCATCTAAAAATGTGGACTGGGGAGAGGTATGTATAGTATATGCATCTAAAATCAGCACAGAGTCCACAATGAAGACACTGTAACTTCTTGTATCTGATAAATATTTTAATACTAGAAGATTTACCCAGAGTTTCTCAGGTCCTTTAGGGAAGGGGGTTGAGGGTGTGAGGTTGCCAGAGTCGGGACAGGGACGTGGATGCGGGTGGGCTTAGGGCAGGGGGTTTGGAAGTGGGGGGCTCAGGGAAGGGTGGAAGGTGCAAGAATCAGAGCAGGGGGTTGGGAGATGTGGGGGGGCTAAGGGATGGGGTGGACGTGCAGGAGTCAGGATTGGGGGTTGAGGAGTGGCTCAGGGCAGGGGGTTGGGAGGTATGGGGGCTTATGAGCAGGAGGGCATGCCTGGGGCAGTGGGGCCACAGTGCCCAGTTGCTGGCTGCTGTGCAGCTCTGAGGGGCTGTCAGGAAAGTTGGGGCACACTTGCTTGCTGTCCCTCTGTTGTCATTCTGGTATATAACTGTCCCTTATATCAGAGCCCTCTCTTTCCATTTGATGAAAAACAGTCACATTCCATGCACAACCCTTACCTTTAAGTTAAGAGCAAGATGCTTACCATATTTAATGACACTAGATCTTACCGTTTAAGAGGAGTTCTTGAACAAACAGATTCATGGACAGACAGGCAGTCAAATGCACAAACTCTCAAATATATAGTAGATTTAAACAGAAAAATAATAATGATTTGGGATACTGTTATTTTTAAATGTGGGAAATGTATATCACTTTTTTTACAAGTATCACATACACCTCAGTTTAATATTATCCTGCCTGCCTATCAAGAATTAAATCCAAGGAGGCTGTTCAATTCCATGCAAACAAAACAATGCCCAAGATTAGGCTCCTTAAGGGAACAATGGGTGGAGCTATTAATTGGGGGAGTACCTCGGCCTGGCTCCAACCTGGTTTGCATGTTTTATTCTTCTCAAGGCTAAAAGCCTAAGATCAGAGGATCCTAACCCTTCAAGATGCTTGTAAGCGCACACACACACCCCGCGCTCCCCAATTCCCCTCTTCCAATGAGAGACAGTACGTAGTCCGCCGTCTGCTACACCACTTTTAATAAGTGCACCCCAGTCCCTGCCAAAGGTTTCCTTTTAGAAGTTACGGGCCTTTGAACGCCCTCTCTGAGTATCACTCCATGGGGTGGAGGGTAGGTGGACCCGGGCCCACCCTCACGACCGGGTCCTGGCCCAGGGCCCTAAAAGGAAGAGAACAGCCGCATTCTCTCCCTTATGGTCGGCGGGGTGACCTCCTGTAACACGCCGACCCACAGGCTTCCATTGCCCTGGACTGGGCCACTTCCTACCCCTTGCGGGTGTTCTCAGCACTGGGGTGGGAGACCCCTGCTTCCCGGCGCCTTCCCGCACACGTCCCTCAGTCCTCCGCCTCCGGCCGTCCTGGGCCTCCTTCCCTGCCTCTGCCCGCTGGTCGGCTTTTAAAGTTGGCGGTGCGATGCCCCTATGCCGCCCGTCGCCGCCACGCCCCCAAATACTCCTGCCCCGCCTCCTGGCGTACTATGGGGGCACGCCGAGTGACGTCATCGCCCGGCGCACACTTGCCTACGGCCGCAGCGTCCCCCCTCGCCCGGCCACTCT